CCCCAAGACTCCCCGCAATCAAGTACAGGTGATGTCTCCTCCTCCACCCCCTTCTGTTGCTCCTCCGGCTGAATGGGTCAATCCTAATCCTGGCGTAAATCCAGCTCATAGGTTGGGTACCTAAACTATGCTGACTTCTTTCCGTGAAGCTTCTGCTTCAACTTCTGAATAGCCCGCGTTCCCTTCTTCAATATGAAAGTGGCATATTCCCCATGTCCCTCCATATCACTCGAGGCCCGCTTCTTAATGTTCATATACTCAACCCGGTCCTCCTCCCTCTCGCCAATAGGAACGACAATACCAGCATAGCGGAAAAGAATTGCGTTCAGGATCATACGGCACATGCGTCCATTGCCATCTTGGAAAGGATGAATCTCGACAAACCTGAGCGAATACTTAGAGGAAAGAGAAAATGGGTCTATCGAGTTTTGAGCTTCTCCTTCTTCAATTTCTTTCTTTAGATTGGCGCACATCTCTCTCATTTTATCGGGGACAAACTTTGGCGTCACGAACATCGTGTTTCCAGCACCCACAGCGACGGTGCGGTACTGTCCGGCGTACTTCTGGTAGGGGACTTCGGGATGTTCTGGGTCGATGATCGAGACCCCTTTGCAGAGGATTGCGTGCGTTTCTTTGATGAGATCCTCTGTCATGTCCTCTTCAAGGACAACAAAATGATGAATGATGTGCTGGAATGCTCTCATATGCTGAACAATCTCTCGGCGTCCACGAAGGACATACTGGCGAGGCTGTCCTTTCAGGGTCTTGTCGTGGTTGTACAGCTCTAACAGCTTTGACTCGTAGGCCGGGTCACGCTCGTCGATCTCTGGGACAGGCTCTCCTCGCAAGATCTGGCGACAAAGATGAAGGGTAACGTCGAAACCAAGTCCAGCACCTTCAATCCTGTTGCTACCAAAGATTGCGTGGATGATGGACTCATGAATCTCCTTGATAAGGACCTCCTGTTGCTCTGGCGTGCGTTCAACGCCTCTCATGGAGCCTAGGTATCGAGTGGCTTTCTCGAAGAGGACTTTCGGGTCTTGGTCGGCAGCGTAGGTGCGATAGCTGCTGTCGGCACGGATAGTCAAAGGGACCTCGGCAGAGGGTTGTCGCATGATAGGCCAGTTCTGGCGAAGGGAGCGCTGGAGGTCTGATAGCATCTTGGTGCGCTTGACAGGGCTCGGAGGGGCTTTTTCAGGGGCAGAAGAATCGGTATTAAAGAGATCACCGACAGGTTTCCGCTTATGACTTGGGCTAGAAGGGAACTCCATGGTTATATGGGTAGTGCTGTAGTGTATGAAAGATAGACTTTGATGCCAAGACGGAAGAGGTCAAGCTGAAGAATGATGATGAAAAGAAGAGGAAAGGAATTCAAGAAAAGGAGGGTTGAAGGGGGGTATTTATACCCGAGAGAGAGAGGACCCTCAAGGCCATACATGAGTGAATCACAGACTCAAGGTCGTGAATAGACTTAATTTGAGGTCTTGATTCACTGTCAACTCTGAAGCTACGGTGAAACTTAAGAAGAGCCGCACAGAAAATACTTTAGGCATCAAGATATTTAATTTAGGTTTACCAAAGCTTACTGAATTCACACAGGCTGGGACAGAGAAAATAGGTTGACAACACAAACCAACTGTGATGGTGAAATGCCTTAAGGTCCAATCATAAACTTTGTAGCCGAAGGTCAAAGAATTGAAGTAATTTCGATACTTTTCAAACAAATAAAGGTAAATGAGTGGATGGATATTGACTCGCCCAGTTGACATCCTATCAGTGTCAGAGTTTGTGAGTGTATGATGATGAGTCAGATTTGCTGCGGGATCTCGAGATAAACTTTGGTGAATAGCATCTTGCCCCTTGATGAAGTAGAAGTCTTTCTTGAAAAGCACACCTTACAAGACTTGAAGCGGAATGCATGAGTGTCTGTATTTCTTCGAGCTTTGGAGTACTCTGAGGGCATTCTAATCTTGACGACTAACCGGGTGGGGACGTTCGATGAAGCCTTCAAATCATGTATCCAGCTGGCTTTACGGTACGAAAAGTTAAAGGATTACCAGCGTTTGCAAATCTGGAAGAACTTCCTAGTGAGGTTGAAGAGTCTGGGCGAGAAGGAAAGTATCGACTTTGGCGATATTGAGCTACATTTGGAGAAATGGCGAAGTATCCTATGAATGGACGACAGATTCGTAATTCCATTACAATTGGGAGACAGTTGGCTAAGTACAAGAGGAAGAAGATGACATTCGCTCATTTGAAGAGGGCGATCGATGTTGCGAATAAGTTTGTTAGGTATTTGGCTGATGTTCAGGAGGGTGATATGGAGGAGTTCAGTGGCAGGGGAGAGAGTGGACGGTATACGCCGAAGTATCTTGCCAGGGCTGATCAAATCCGCAGATCACATATGGGAGTCACGCTAGTATAGACAGGGCGTTTGGAATGTTTTTGGAGTCGAAGATTAAGTCGTCGTGGGCAGGAGAGGGGGCCATGATCCCTTTACACGAACAAAGTGGCTCAGAAACTCGGTATCTGTCGAGTCTGCTATGTTCACAAGAATTCTCAGGAAGGAGACAGACTTTGGCCACGCTGGTAACATTACGATTCATGGTAACTAGAAGTATATACAAGATAGCAGGCATAGTACCCGTTGAGAATATGAGAAACGATCCTAAACTCCAAAACTTCCATCTTACTTGTGAATGCCGTCGGACTCTGGTGGTCCCTTATACACATGTCTAGCATGCACAACATACCAAATAGCCGACATGGCCATGAAGCCGAAGAACACAACGACGGCGTAGTTCATCGTGACAGCATTGACAGGAATAGCAACAGGCATACAGAACAAAATCATCTCAAAGCAAATCCAGGCCAGGGCGAAGATGTTGATGACCCAACCAATCTGCTTGCCAAAAGTCCAGGGCGCCGTGTTGACTCCAGCTCGATTAGTGAGCATGGATAGTAGAATCGGAATACCATATGAGCTAGCGAGACCAATGACGCCGACGGCGATGAAAGCGTTGAAGGCAGAGCTCGAGCCGAGGTAGATGAGACCCAGAAGCATCTCGATGATTGTTGTGAGGAGGAGAGCCATGATGGGTGTTCCGTGTCGCTCGCTGACTTTTGACCAGACTCGTGAGAGGGGGATGGCTTCGTCGCGTGCGAAAGCCCATGTTGTTCGTGAGGCAGCGACTGTGATGGAGATGGAGCAGAAGAGGGTGATGATGAGGACCAGGGCCGTAAGGGCGATTCCGCCGGCTTGGTTTCCCATTACTTGGTAGAAGATCATAGGGAGGACCTGGCCTAGTGGTGCGGCAAGGAGCTCCTCTAGAGGGGGGAGGGTTGCGCAGATTGGGATGATCTGGTGGTTGTTAGTGGGCTAAGGTGAAAGAGAAGACAGACAATGCTTACGAAGAACAAGCCCGCGATGCCGCCGACTGGGACGCAGAGCGCGAGAGCTCTTGGAAGCTTGATTGTAACGTCACCGCATTCTTCAGCCATGGAGGTGATCATGCCAATAGCGGAGAACGTGTAAGCTGATGGCAAAGCACCGATCCAGAAGCCAAAATTTCCCCAGCCTGATAAGTTGGGATCAAAGTTGCCCTTGGCTAGTTAGTAAACATCCAACTCATCGGGGATTTCCGTACTCACGAGCGTGTAACTTGCCGAATGTCTACCCCTATCTGCCTTGGTCGACAGACAAACACAAACAATGAAGATGGTAATAGCAGTAAAAGCTGCACAGAACGTATCCACGGTAGGAAGGAATTTGTTTCCAAACGCGACGATGACAAAGGTGAACACACAAAGACCGTAGAAGATCAGCACGAGCTTCCAAGGCTGCCAGTCGTACTCAGGCAAGAAGATACTAATACCTCCAGCAAGAAGCGAAGCGAAGCCAAAGTTGACGGATAACGTGATGGTCCAATTTCCAACAAGCCATGTCCAGCCGGTGATGAAAGACAAGACAGTTCTGTACTTTGGCGACGCGATCTGGAAAGACCAGTAGTAGGGACCAGCGGATGTAGGCCATCGAGCAGCGAGTTCGCCCAGTGAGATGGCGATGCACTCGTCGAGAATACAGACGATGATCCAGCCGAGAAACATGGTAAGTTGACCGCCGCCGTAGACGGAGTTGATGAGCGGTGCGCCGAAGCCATAGGGGATCTATCACCGATTAGCCACTGTACGTAAGTAATGGAATTGGGGGAGACTTACAGCAGCAATTGCTAATGATTGGAAAAGAAGCGTAAACATTGATCTGTTACGCTTGAGTTCAGGCTTGTAACCAAGGGCCGTCAGGTCCGCAGCATCGCCAGCGTCACCAACGGCATGATCATAGTTCTTTGCCTGCTCATGATCACTCCCCTTTTCTGAAACCACACCTTTCTCTGCGTTATTCATATTGACAATCACAACAAATAACAATTAGGTATGATAGAACAGGCAGAATTGAAGTTGAAGTTTGACGTTGACATAAAACGTGCGGCGGTAGCATTGCATTATAAACAACACACACACTCACACACCCTTATCAAGAAATTAAACCTTCAGTGACGCCTACTACACAGTGATATCACGAGCATCCCCCCCTCCTTCCCCAGATTCTACTTCTAGCCGGGACATTTTTGCCTAGAATGTGTTAGTGCAGTGTAGCTATCACGGGCGCTGATTTTACCCCGCGCGCAGACCAATCCACTGGGTTTTCTGCACGGTAACTCAGCCCTGATAAGGAATGGTCCGTGTTGGTGACAAGATAAGAAATCAGCGGTGTTAACCCTGCGAGGAGTGGTTTGTTAGTGTGACTGTGTCTCTGATGGTGGGCGCAGCTGAAGGGAATGTGGCTGCCAAGACGGGAAGTTCGATTGACCATCACAGGGATCTTGGATGATGTGCCGAGCATGATATGATGAGTCTAGTAGTCCAAGAATAAGGGAGAGACTTGTTTACTTGTATTAGACCGGCTGGACTAGCTAGGGGAGGAAATAAAGCTCAGGACGGACCTTGAGCCTAAGTGATGAAAAGATGTAGGTAACTTGGGTAAATTTAGGATAGGTTCAGGATACCTTTTACAGAATTTATTTTATCATCCTAAACTTAAGTCTTGTGTTTTCTTGCTCCCCAAGGACTGGCCAGACTGGGCATCGAATTGGTATCGTACTAAGCAATTAAACACGGAGCTACGTTTGGTCTTAAATCTAACCAAATACAGTCTCGTACTTTAAATCATCCATCACATCAAGCCAATGAACTGACCCCGGCACTGTTTCACAATCATAATACGACCACACTGCCTGCAGTAACTCCCGCAGCACAACGATAGGCCCAGCAGCTGGACCATTGCCAAACCCTTTCAGTCTCTCGACAATAAACTCGCGCGCCAAGTTGACGTCTGTGAAATGGTTCTGGTTAGATTCCTCAGTCAGATCGGAGGTGGCGTCTAGGATCTCTAATTGCGGTGGCTTTTCCTCAGCGCAGACCGTCTTACACCGCAATCCTGAGCCGACTCCGAGACACAGCAAGGGTTGCAGACATCGGATCGACGAAGCAGGGATGTTGGATAAGAGGCCTGTGATGTGAAGCGCGAGTGACGTGGGCCATGTCACTTGTGTTACACTCCCGTTTATCCTCTCGGGAAGTCTTCTCGACACAAGATCTGGAAATGTTTGGTACAGCTGTAATAATGAACAGAGTCGAAAGACTTCTGCTGCGTGGTGTAAGTCGAGATTAATCTGGCCCTTGTTCGTATAAGTATCTGCCGCGTCGCTGATGAGCTTCGGCACTTGCACAGACAAGAGCGTCTCTTCGAGGATTTGCGCCTCGTTAATGTCGATCATTGTCTGCCACATAACCTCATACGTCGGCGCAGTGCAGTTCCGCCAGGTATCCCGCGATCTGCGACACAGCGACATTGACTTTCCGAACAAAGCAATTATTTTGGGCGGAACACCAGTCCAAGGATGAAGAACAAAGTCGTATGGTGGATACGTCGCTGGCGTCCATTCTGTGAGCGTGCTGATGTCGTCTTTGGTGCTTGTTACGATACTGCGGACGGATTCTTCGTAGATAAGACATTCTTTGAAGAAGCCGACTAAGCTTTGGTCTTGTTTTGAGAGGTACTCGGATCGCATTTCGAGGAGGGCTAGTATTACGCGCACGTGTCGTAGATATTGTAGACCAAGTTGTTTGTGGTCCATCCAGCAAAGTGATGAGCTGAGACAGAACAGTGATATGATAAGCGCGTGAGGTATTGTGGTAACACTATTCGGCG